CCAGTGAGCGACTGAGTTGAACAGTCAAGTATGTGGGTGACTGGGTCGCTACACGGGTGGCGTTTATAGTCAACAGCTGTCTAAAGTTGAGTCGCTATTGACAGCTGGAAAAATATCTCCACAGCAGTGATTACACGGTGGAGGGGAGCCCCTACTCACTAGTGGATGGGTGATCCGGTCCTCAGAGTGAAAACTGGCGATCAGCAACAAAGCACGAACGTCTTCGGGCGAGTAGGTTCTTTTTAGAGCCGGCTTTTTGCATAAATCACTGTCAACCGTCTGTTTTTCTTGATTCAAATTATCCTGATATGACCAAATCATACTGTTTGTTTTATTTCTTCACTAGCCCATTTCAAACCACCAAATCGACCTTAAAGACGTAACGGTTTTTGCATGTCGAACACCCGAGGGTCGAGCGGCCTGGGAGAATGGGTTTCGAATCCACAAGGTCAGTATCCCGGACGTCTTTTACAACGATGCGCTACGTAGAATGCTCTTTGCTTCCACTGATTAAATTTGAATCCGAATAGCCATAAATGCTTACTGTTGATACGTTGGGTCAATAAGGATGTCGTCTTCACCAACGTCACAACCCGCAGCATCACACAGTTCCAGGGGAACAGAGAAATTATCAACTGTTTGACTGTTTAACTGCCACCTTAACTGTCCCGCCTCAATCGATAGGTACTTTTCACTACTTTGCTTGGTTCTGATTGGCTATCAAATATGCACCATCACTTTGGTTATACGCCATGTGGACCTACTGCGCCACTTGGGCAAAGGTGACGAGACGGCTGAGATTTTGGAATCTCCAAATCGCGTAGTCTAACTCTCAAAACCATTCGTTAATACCATTTCAAAATTTGCTCCAGCTTCAGGAAACTCGCGAGCCCAAATGAGGTACGTTTCTCAATATTACTGGCGCCGGTCAACGAAATCAAACTTCAAACGTTCAAGAATTTGTAAGGGAATCGATCACCTCCAAGAAATAAATTATACCTTGAAGGCACACGCTAGAACGAGGAAGCCATTCCCCCGACGATTTGTTCGAAGTACGACGTGTGGAGCGATACTAACCCATCAGATGAAAAATCGAATGTGACATACGGATTTTCGGCTCCTTGAGGACGGCAATCCATGAACAATTCTCGTTACTTCTTGTTTAGCCCTTACTTGAGGAGAAGTTTCCGGGATATCTGTCTATTCAAGTGTAGCCATGTTTTAAAGTCACATCACTCACGTTTGCTCGTTTACGCTGGTGGGTCCACACAAAAGAGGAAGGCAGTAATATATCTTTGTACTACTCATAAGGTTGCTGAAAATCCATCGACAGCCCACGACCGGTTTCCCTCTTCTTGGGGCTGATCAGGTAGGCGCAGTTTCCGAGTCTCCGTCAACCTTATGTTCTACTTGAAACGAAATTAGCGAATATATACTCATTTGCAAACTAATTTGGTTCTTTGACTCATCTGGAACCCAGCTGAATTTCTCGTTTACGATGTTCTCAGGCACTGAATTTGGGTTTCAACATTAGTAGAACTCACGATTTGTGCGTGGCATTGGTAGTGGCGGGGCTTGAACTCTGGACATGTGACATGCAAAGTGAGCTTGTTACAACAACCGTAGTGGCGTGAATTATCACGTCCAGACAGGTGGACTTGTTCACACCTGAGCAATTCGATCGGTTCACCGATGCCTATACTTTCTGTTGTTTCAATGACCTCTTTGAAAATGGTCTAACATTACGCGTGTTGCTTTCAAATGTGGTATTCCATAGACCGAAAGTAGCTATACTGTAACATATAAAAGGACTAAACCTCTACGGTTAAAAACGCCGTTTGGATTACATTCGAGGAATGAAGTTATAGGGACTGACTAGCCAGAGTCCTCTAGAGGCCAAGCCTTACTCCGACAGCAAAACAAACAAAGGCTGATGCTTCACTATCGCCATTCTGTAATGCTCATAAAATCTCAACTGGTCCGATAACTCGATGGTAGTCCACGGATAGTTGATACGTCCTACACTGAAAAGTTATTTGAAATCATGTAAAACACTTTTGGACGCAAGACATAGATGTGAAAGCCGAAGGTCAGCTAACTAGCTGTTAAAAATGCTTCGCAGATTTTTTATCGAAACTTCATTTTTTGAACTTTTGCCTCCCAAACAGAGGCCTCGTTTAAGTTGATGGTCAACCGGCGTTCCTTATATCTGTGATAATCTACGACAGTCGTCATACTCCTTTGAGGTCGCTCGTAACGTTCTGTGAAGTTTATGAGGTTTTTTGTTCAAACGCGTTTTAGCTCGCCAAGTTTACCACGGGAATAGATCGAAAATACACACCAGATGATCGCCACTGTGCACTCTGGATTGAATTGCCGTTCAGAAAGGATTCTCTGCGTTCATGGCTGACTGTATTGTGATCAGTTTAGCTCGACAATTGCGATAGTCCCAGCTAACACCACGGCCTCCGTGGAACCTGGCGATCAGTACGAAGATACCAAAGTCGATCACCATTAGCATTGCTTTCTCGCGTCCGCACGTTAAGGCCTTCCTACGACTAACTGAAGTTCCATAGATGTGTGTTGAACTCTCCATTTAAAACGACTGCGTCTGGAGTGCACAAGGGTGGATGTGGTTCTCGATAGGATATTTCTTACGCCGTAGTTGTTTGTCACACAGGCTGATGCTGTCGGAATCGGCCCCAGCTTCGACGAGTTTCAACAGAAATCGACAGTGATGCCAAAGGGTGGGCTACTGTCTGGAACCGAGGGGTAATCATTTTACGGTGCAGTCCGCCGCAACGACAGAAGGATTTTGTAGTCCACTAAGTCTTGATAGCGAAATTTTTGGCCTATTCACCGCCGGTGAGCTTTGAAAACTCAGTAAATGCCGATCGAAGAACTTTCTAAAACGAGGGTAAAGTCAGACTGTTCGTTCGCTTTCCAAAACGGTCACTTTTCACAGACTATGATGAGGAGTGA